ACCAGGGGGACAGGGAGCAGAGCAGAGCAAAGCCGCGGAGCACGTGGCCCGCAGACAGCCCAGACGCATCTGGGCTGTCCGCTGCCCGCATGTTCCGCCGCTTTGCTTCCTCTCCCTGGTCTGCTGGAGACCAGGGAGAGGGAGGGCCCCGTTCGTAACTGCGGATCCGACATAAGTCAGATCCGCGTAACTCAGGGACTGCCTGTAGATCCAATAAATATATAATGAAGATAATCAGTACAACTAGAGACCTGCATGGATACAAAATCTGTATCTGCACCCGTATCTGCAAAAATGAGCCACGGATATCTGCAATGACATCCGTGGAGGCAGATACCTGTGGATACGAAGCCAATATCCACAAATTTGTGGGATTCTAGATACAAATTTTGTATCTGCAGCCATAGCCACAGAAATGAGATGTGGATATCCATGGATATAAAACGGATATCTGTGGATTTGCAGGGCTCGGAGTATAAAGTTTTCCAGACCCACCTACCCATTAGGCCACAACAATGCCATAAAAGGATGACCACCTATAAAAGTCATCCTGTAGATCTATACAGTCCTTGAGAAAGAGGCTGCCAATAATGATGCCACTTGTTTCTGGCTTCTGTTTATCCTCTAAAATATACCTATAGACTGTAATACCAAATTAGCCCTTAACCTTCTCTTTGTTAAGCTAAATAGATTGAGCTCTTTGAGTCTGTTTCTATAGGTTGGACCTCCCTGGTCCAGCACCCTCAAGACCTGATTGGTCCCAGATGAGGGATTTTTCTAGACCAAGGAAGGTCATTTCTGGCCCCCCTGCTGCCAGTCCCACCCCTCGCCCTGCTGCCTCCCCAGACTTCCCATGGCAGCCCGGCTGGGTCACACACTGGACTTCCTGCTCCCCCTCTGCCATTTTCCCCCATAGCCCAGCTGGGACATGGGCCAGGCCCTGTCCCCTCCTCTGCATTGCACTGGGCTCCTGGGCCTTCCAACACTCCAGCATGCTAGGACTCTCTGATACTGGAACATCCATGGTTCTGCTGGACCATGGATGTTGCTGAACCAGAGAGTCCCAGTTTATAGAGGTCCAGAGTGACCTAGACAAACTGGAGGACTGGGCCAAAAGAAATCTGATGAGGTTCAACAAGGACAACTACAGCGTCCTGCACTTGGGACGGAGGAATCCCAAGCACTGTTACAGGCTGGGGACCGACTGGTTAAGCAGCAGG